AACGAGGGTACGTGGTCAGCGCGCTGCCGCCGCGTAGCCGCGTGGCTGCGTATCGCCCTTATTTGGCGGGGCCGCGTCGTTTCCAGTGCAACCGCGCGCCAAAATTTTTCATACTTGGATGTGCACGGTGGAGCACTCGGCACCCGGCTCGGCTGCGCTCGGCTCGGCTCGGCCCACCGTTACGGAGACGGCCTTGCGAGGCTGTCTGGCTGTCGGCGTGGGAACCGCGCGGCGCCGCGGTCGGTTCACTGGTAGTCGGGGCACTGCACGCCGGCCGGAGTCTCGGCCAGCCGGCGCCTGGCTGGCTGGCTGCTTGGCTGCCTGCCTGCCTGCAGGTGGCCGTATCGGCAGGGCCTAAATGACCCCGCGCTCAATTAAGTTCCGTCCGTGGGAAGCTGCGGGCCTGCGGGCCGCCAGTCGGACGGACAGTCGGACGGACAGTCGGACGGACAGGCCCGGCCCACAATGTTGCATTCTGGTTATTGGCGGGCCGCGGCGTTTCGTTTGCCGAATTATCCGGTCCGGAGCGAAGGAGATTTGAACGCAAGAATGCAGGACGAGAGCTCGGCGCGGCGGCGCGACCCCGCCCTGCCTGGGCTGGGGCTGGGAGTGCCCTGGGTCCCGGTCCCCCGCCGTCCAGGGCTGCCCTCGCGGCCCCGCGCCCCGGCCGTCCCGGGTCGCCGGTCGTCCCGTTGCCGTGCCGCGGTGCCGCCCGGGCGTACGGCACACGGCACGCCAACGGTGTGCCACGGTGACGGGCCGGCGGGCCGCGACTGTGGGAACCACGGCGGCCGTGCGGCCAAGTCAGGCCAAGCAGGCGAAGAGCGTCTTCGTATTAAAATGTCACACCGCGCGGCGAGCGGCGAGCACGGCCTGGAGCCACGCCATGCCGTGCCACGCCACTGTCAGCGTGGAAGCCGGGAACGTCGTCGTCGCCGTGCTCTGCATTGCCATTGCCTGGCACTGCCTGGCGTTGCCCCCTTCCGCCCCTTCCCGACGACGACTTGTTTGGACGGCTCGAGATACGGTCGGACGGTCGGACGGACGGGAAGAGATGCTGCAGTTTGCTCTACGCCGCGCCGCCACCGCCGCGCCGCGTCTCGCCACTTACAATTTCGTTTTATTTCGCGATGAAGACCGCAATGCCAACTGCGGACTTCTCCGCCTCCGTGATTGAGTTGGAAAGGGGCAGCACTGTGTGTAAGTGTGTATGTGTGTGTGTGTTGCGGTCGTCGTGCTGTGGTATCGCGTCGGTGTGAGTGTGTGCGTGCGTGTGTGTGACTGTAATAAACTATCAGTTGCAGCTTCACCCCCACTTTACAATCAATCGCTCCCGCACTTCATTTCGAACCGCGAGGGGTGGCGCGCTGCAGCGCATGCCCTGGTGCCGAACAGCGCTCCGGCACTCTGTCTCTCTCGCACCCCTCCGGGACGCCCCGTGCGTGCGAGAGAGACTCCCGCGCGGATGTGTGTTATGTCGGTCGCGTGGCGGGGCGGCCTGGCGGCCTCATTGATTCATGTATTGGTTCGACGATAGTGATCGCCAAGCGTCTCATCCTCGATACACTTGAATATGGAACAGGGCCGCGAATGAAAGGAAAGAGTGGTCAAGCAGGTCGACGAGCACGCTTAGCGTGTAGCGGCGGCAGCAGTGCGTTTCGGCCTTGGCGCGGCGGGGCGGCGCGTCTTGGCGCGACCCCCTTTTTCTTCCTCCCCCTTTGCTCTTCCTTCTGTCCCCTCCCTGTCCCATTCACTCGCCCCCTTTGTGACGCGGCAAGGGTATCGCCGATGACGTCTCCGCGCCGGAAATCAGGACTTCCGGTCGGAGATGCCCTCCCTCCCCGTCCGCCTGCTTCGCCGGCTTCCTGTCGCACTCGCGCGCCACCTGCGGCATGCGTAATTTTTATAGTGATTTGGGACAGTCGTGTTGGCACCCCTCGCAGCGCCGCAGCGTCATGCCGGCCAACAACAAGTGCAACAACTTGCGCGCGCGACGCGGCGCGAGGCGGAGCGAGGGCTGCCAACCCCCTGATATCGTAAACAGCGAAAAAAGATAAACAAGAAAGTGCCGCGACCATTGTCCGCGCTGGCGTCGCGGAAAACGCTCTCTCCGCGGCCAACCCCCCCGACACCGCGGACACCCCCAGGGGACGAGGGGAGGGGAGGGGAGGGGTGGGGGTAGTCGTCGCCATAAGCGGATCCACGAGTCTCTTTTTGTCAGTGGAGGGGAGGGGAAGGGTGGGGGAGGCGCTTATTAGTCGCATTGTCCGCGGTCGGCGAACAAGTGCCAAGTGCGTTGGGGGCAGCATCTGGACTGGGCGCGGATCATGTCGTGTGTGTGTGTGTGTGTGTGTGTGTGTGCGTGTGTGTGTCCGGAGTGGGTGGCCCCGCGGCTTGGCCGGGCTCTTTAAAAGGCTTTGTAATTGATATTAAATTCATGTGCTGCAAGAGGAAGAGGAGGGGGAGGGGGTGACGCGTGTCCGAGCCGGGGCGGCGTGTGAGCGACTTTGTGGAGGAAACAACAGAAGGCGAAACTAAATTTGATGATTTTTTTCTCATCTTTTGACGATGACGACGATGGGGTGGCGATTGTCCCTCTTGTGATTCTGATCTGACTCAGCACACAGCACCGGGCGTTGACGTGCGCCCTGCCGGCCTTTTGGCGCCCCGACCGCCGAAACGGAAATGGCCATTTCAAAAATGCGCGCCAAATCGAAATCGGCGGCGGCGGCGTTCGGCTCTTGGCTCGTTTGGCTTCGTTTGTTTTTTCAGGCGGTGCGGCAAAGTAGGCGCATAAATGTAATGGCCAGAGGCCAGAGGGGCCGAGCCGAGAGCGGCAGGCACGGCAAGGCTTGGAGGCGAGGCTTTGCCTGGCTTTGCCTGGCTTTGCCGCGGGCCGGGCATTGCTGTCGGGCCGTCGCGTCGTCGTCCGCCTCCCGGCCTCTGCGTCTCGAAGTCTCGAAGCGCATCGATACATCGAACCGATACACGGATGCGCGTCGCTGCGCGTTGCGCGACCCTTTTAATTCGACCGTCAATCTGAGCAATTCGAAGCCATTCGACCGCATTGCGCGGATTGCGCGCCGTCTCTCTCTTTCTTTGCGCGGATTCCTGGCGAATTTCCTTCCAGCCGTGTCGTTTGTCCGGCGGCGTCCTGGGCGTCCCGGTGCAGTGGCCGCCGCCGCCGCCGCGCCCTGCGTGTCGGCGTGTCCCCATCCGCGCCGCGGCTGCGCGGGCACGCCGTCGGCGGCGGCCTCCACGGCGGCTAAGCGCCCCGACGAGCCGCCCCGCACGGCCGCCGCCCTGCTCGCGACAGTCCTTTCCACCGACCAAGGTCCACCGGGACGGGACGGGCTGGACCATGGCCGCCGCAGAACCGCCACCGTGTTTTCAGGACGGCCCCCGACGGCCGCGGCTCCGGCTTGCGGTGTGTGAACCTCGACGAGGGGACCTTTCCGCGGGGCCTCCAGTGGCCGCACTCCAGTTATGTTCCAGGCGGGACGAGGCTGCTGGAGATGCTCCAGTGAGCGTCTTCGCGCTGCTGGTATATGTCCCACCTTTCTCACGGGGCCGAGGTGGCCGGGAGGCTTATATGTGTGTGTGAGTGAGTGAGTGTGGAGGAGGGGCAGCATGATCCCACTGCGAGCAGCTCTGCGTATAGCACTGCGTATAGCACTGCGCACACATTTGGCCGGACAGTTTGAATGGCGAGAGCATCGCGAAGACTTCTGCCTCCGCCTGGACGCCCCATTGGCTTTCCCATGAGGAAGCAGCGCCGCGGCGGGGGTGTGGCCGGCCGCGCTGGCGTGCCTGGCGTGGCTGGCGTGGGCCGCCGCCGGGGGTCACAGGTCAGCGGGTCAACAGACGAGCCTTCGTGATTGGCGGTCGGTACGTCGGTACGGCGGTACCCGGTCGGAGAGACAGCCTGCACGACGGCATGCTCGACGACAATGGAGGCGCCCGACTCCTCGAAGGGCCCCGAAACCCTGGACGCCGGCGACGCACTCCTCGGCGACGAGGTTGTTTTTCCACGCCGTCAGGACGCCGTCCGCCGGCGAAAAGCATTCCGACGTAATTTGGCTCCAGGGGCGAGCAGCGTCTCTTTCTCTCTCACACTCGTCCGAGTGCGAAAACGACAAAGACGGAGCGAGGAAAGCACCGTTCGGAAACGCCGTCGCCGCGCTGCAGGACGAGGACGCTCCGGTGACGCGGCTCCGCGGCGCGCCGCCGTCTTCGCGTCATGGTGGGAAAGGAAAGGTGAAGAGGAAGAGGGTGTGAGGTTGGATTGGTTGGATGGCGAATGGCGGTCCGAAAGCGGTTTCGGCTTCGGCCGCGGTGTCGCACCGGGGCTTCTTGGCGGCTCGGCGCGGCGTGGCGCAACGTGGTCGCGGTCGGTGCCTCGCCTCGCCGCCTCCCGCGGCGTCGCGGGGCGTCGCGGGGCGTCGTGACGTCCCAGCGGCGTGGCGCCAAAAGGTCACCCCACGCAGCGCGCACAGCGCATCGCGCATCGCGCGCATCGTCCAGCAGGCTCATTCTGAGAGTCGTCTGTCTCTCTCGCACCTATACGGGGCGCCTATGAGTGCGAGAGAGACAGAGGCCGTCCCGCAACTGGACGACTTATGGAGACTCCAGGAAGAGAGGACAATGCAGCCAGCGCGCCCTCTCTCTCTTGTTAATCAATCGGGGTTAATAGACGGGGGCGTATGGCGGCGCGGCGTCCGAGTGATCCATCTTGGCAGACGTTGACGCTGTGCTGGAGCCATGCTGGAGCCTTGCTGGAGCACGGCACGAAGGGAATCAATCAGTGGCGCAATCAAGCATGCCGCGGCCCCGCAGTTCCCACGCCCTGGCCCTTCCCCCTGCCTGTCTCTCTCCTCCTTTCCTGTCTCCTCGAGTCCGTGCCGCGGTGCCGCGGTGCCGCGACTGCCCGTAGCGCGCACCGCGTCTCCGTTTGCTGTGGCGCTGGCTGGGTTTTGACTTGGCTGTGTTCCCTGTTGCAGAGTGACGGTGCCCGGCTACCCGGCGCTGGCGTCCAGCGCGCCCCACCCGGGCCACATGTCGGCGTGGGAGCGCTTCGGCGTCGAGCTCATCCTCAGCTTCCTGCTCGTGCTCACCTACTGCGGCGCCACGGACGGCCACCGGCGGTCGCTGGGCGGCGGCGGCCCCGCCATCGGCGCGGCCTACCTCGCCTGCTCCCTGGTCTCGGTGAGTATGCGCTTGATGGCGGCGGAGAGTGCGTAACCTACCACACGTTCGGCGCGGCAAACTCTGCGCAGCCGTTCTCGGAGGCGTGCCGCGTGCCTGTCCTACGGCGAGGGCGTCCTCGGAGCGACCGCACTGCTTTCCTCGCTGTCTCTCTCGCACATCGACGGCAAGCGCCTTGAGTGCGAGAGAGACACAACGACGGGAGCAGTGCTCGGCTGACCACGCGCACGGGCCGCTGGTTTGATGCGGGTCTCGTCGGCACGAGCCTACACGAGCCGGCCCGGGGCCGGGGCCGGGGAGGAGCATGGCGTCGGGAGAGGCGTCCGGCACCACGCCGACGGCACGCCGGGAGCTACCCTTTGGGCCGTGACGGCGGCAGTGGGCGGGGGGATTGCCCTCAGATTGTGCTTCGTCGGCAGGCAGGCAGGCTGCACGTGAGGAAAAAGAGAGGGGGTGGGGGGGTTTACGTCCCGGCAGTCTCGGCCACCTGCCGCGGTCCGGGCCTGCGATTGGTGGGCGCGTTCAGCCCCGCTGCACGCCAGCACGGCCTGCACGGCCTGCACGGCTGGAGGGTGGCGGCAGCAACAACAAGAGGAGCTTTTTTGAGGTTTCTTCTTTCGAGCCGTCGCCGTCCTCGTCCTCGTCTTCCGCCGCTCCTTATAATACAAAACGGAGCCGATCGGCGTGGCCGCGGGCCATTAAGGGGCTTCCTTGCCCAACAACAACAACAACAAGAGACGCTATTTCTGGCAAAAATCCTCCGCAAACCGGGGGTGGCTGGTGCTACGCTACGCAGTGCGACGTCTCGGAGGGAGGGAAGCCCGCCGAAGCTGGGCTTGGCGCGAGGGAGGGCCTTACACTACTGCTACGCCACTGCTACGCCACTGCTACGCCACTGCCGCCTCGTGATGTATGCCGCGCGTTGCGTTGCGTTGCGCGGCGCTTGGCCTGCACGAGGAGGAGCAGGGAGAAGGGCAGGTGCGAGACGGGCGACGCGGCGGCGACGCGGCGACGCGGACCGAGAAACCAGTCGTGCGCCGGTCGGCCGGTCGGCTGGCCACTGCACCTGCCCGTCTTGTTGTCTCTAAATTATAATAAAGAGCGATAAAAAGGGGATTCGGGCTGCAGTGCCCGCCGTCCGGCTGTCCTGGCCGGCGAGCCTTGGCGTGCCCGCCTTGCCGCCTTGCCGCCGTGCGGACGTGCTAACGAAGGGGGCAGCACAGGGGCGGCAGGTGCAGCTGCTCCTGGAGGCTGGCTGGAGCTGCTGGAGCCAGGAAGGGGCCCCACCCCGCCCCGCCCCGCCACGCCCCGCCACGCTCCGCCCGCAGGCTGCCGAAACTGAAACGGAGCCGCTGCCGCTGAATGCGCGCCAAGCCGCTGGAATGCGAGCGTCTGGCCCAAAGTTTTTCTTTCTCTTTTGCTTTTCTTTCACTCTGCTTTTTACCGTTTGGCGTTTGGCAAATTGCAAAGCGGAGTGAGAGGAAGCAGTTGGTTGGGGAGCCGGCCGGGGCCTCTCGCGGCCTCGCGTCGCAGGCCCTCCTTATTTTGGTTGTAACTTTTATATCCTCTTGAAAACGGAGATGAACAACATGCTTCGTATCTCCTTTGTTGGGGCGGACGCGTAGGGAGAGCATGAGCGTACAGTGTGGTGTGCAGGCCCCCGAGCACAAACACGAGGCACTTGAAGCGGAGCAGCGCGGCCACTCGTAAGGCCGTTCGGGGAGATCTTATGGCCCGCGAGCCCGTCTCTCTAAACACCACCCCTTCAGCCTGAAGCCTGAAGCCTCCCGGGTGGCGGCTGTGCTCGGCAGCCACGGCGGGGCTGGAACCATAACAGCCCCTTCCGCCGCGGTTTTCCTGGAAGAGCAGCTCTGAAGCGTTGTTTCGTCGCTGTTTCTCTGTCGCACTCGTGCGGCGTCGTGTCGGGGTGCGAGGGAGACAGCGCGACGGAACGAGTCTCAGTCAGTCACTCGCTCGGCAGGTCCGCCGGCACAATGCAAATGACTTTCTTTCCATGAGCTCCTCCGCGGAATCAAGTCCTGCAAGCATCCTGCCCGGGTCCCGGTATTTAGCACAACATGCGAGTAACACCAGGGGCCCCCACCAGCGACGCCCATCCGGTCTTCCCGGTGCCGGCCCGGTCCCCGGCTGCCTTGCCGCCCCGCAGGGCCCCGCCCCGACTCTGGCTGTCACGCCGAGCGAGCAGGATGTTTGAAAAATGTGCCACATTTGTGGAACGGCGCGGCACGCCGCCGCGTCACGCGTCCCGTCCGCCACCCCGCCACTCGCACTTGTTGGTGTTTTACGGCGGAGGGCTGGGGCGCTCGCTCGCGGTGTAGCGGCCACTTCCGCCGCGTGGGCCGTGGCCGTCGACTAGGGTCGCCACCGTCGTGGTGCCCGTGCGCAGGCTGCGCAGGTGATCTTGATGGTGGATGTACCGGTGCACGCACCCCCGCCCCCGCGCCCCCGCCCCCGCCCCATACGGCATACGGCACCCTCCGAAACTAAAGCAGCGCCTTCCTGTGGGCCGTCTGGCCTGCCTACTACACTGCTTGTGCAGGTGCGGCAGCAGGGACGCAGGCAGACAACCCCATGTCTGCCTGGCTGCCTCGCTGCCTGCCCCTCCCCCTCCCCGACACACGTTTCCTGTTCTGATTCGCAGGGGTGGTCCCTAAATGATGACGTTTGCCAGCTTCTGACCGCGGCGTTGCTTGTTGTTGCAGATGCCCTCGCTGAACCCCGCCCGCGCCCTGGGCCCGGCCTTCGTGATGAACAAGTGGGAGAACCACTGGGTGTACTGGACGGGCCCCGTGCTCGGCGGCGTGGTGGCCGGCCTGGTGTACGAGTTCATCTTCAGCCCGCGCCGCCAGCCGCGCCGGCCCTCGGACTCCATCGACGGCGACTCGAGCTCCATCCACTCCGACGAGGACCCCTACGACGACCTGGACAAGGGCGGCAAGATGCACCACGGCGGCGTGATGCGCTCCGTGCAGCCCGGCGGCGACATCTACCGGCCCGTGGGCCCCGTGGGCCCCTCCACCCTGGGATCCCCGGCGCCCGGTGGCCTCGGTGGCCTCGGTGGCCCCGGCAGCTACTGCCCCAGCCTCACGTCGGCCAGCCTGTACGCGGCGCCGCCCTGCAAGCTGGAGCGCGTCGAGTCCCTGTACGGCGGCACCAAGTCCCTGTACGCCAAGTCGCCGCCGCTCACCCGCGCCAACCTCAACCGCAGCCAGTCCGTGTACACCAAGAGCCCCGGCGCCATGGGCCCCGCCCTGCCGCGCCCCGGCCCCCTCGTGCCCGCCCAGAGCCTGTACCCCATGCGGCTGGGCTCCTCTGGACCTACCCCCGTCATCGGTAAGTACACAACTACTACTGTAGTGCCTCATACGCAAACCCCTCGGCTTTGCGGACGCCTTAGCTCATGGCCCGAATCTCTATCGTTACAGCACCTCATTGCCTGGCCAGCCAGCAGCCGCAACAACAGCAACAGCAGCAACAACAGCAGCAGCAGCAACAGCAGCAGGAGCAGGTGCTGAGCAGCGCGACGCACAGCAGCAACACGACCACCAACCAGAACGTGCAGAACCAGCAGAACGCGGCGCGCCACGAGAGCGTCTACGGCGTCCGCGGCGCGGCCAGCGGCGCCGCGAGCACAGGCGGTGGCGTCTACGGCGTGACCACCGTGCCCCACCACGTGCCCAACCCCGCGCCCAGCCCCGGCGGCTCCTCGTCGGCGGCCTCGTCGTCCGGCAAGCATGAGCGGGAACGGGAGCGCCGGCCGGAGAGCGTGTACGGCATGGCGGGCCGGCGCCAGGACTCCAACGACTCGTCGTACGGCTCGTACCAGAGCTCGGCGGAGAGGGAAAGGCCCGGCACCGGCGGCCCCGCGGAACGCGACCAGCGGACGGCAGCCTCGGGCCACGCCAGCGGCGCCACCACCCCCGCCAACGGCCTGGCCAACGGCCTCGCCAACGGGGCCGCCCCCGGCGCCAGGCCCAACTACGCGCACCTGCCCCCGCTACCCATGGGAGGGCCACCCCAGGGCGGACAGGGCGGCATGCCCATGCCCATGACGGGGTCGCTGCCCGTGTCCATGGGCGGCAAGTGCGTGGTGGGCGGCTCCATCACCGTCACCAGCAACGGCAACTACGGCGCCGTGCGGCACGCGCCCCACGGCATGGCCGCGCCCCCGCAGCCCCACCCGCACCAGGGCCACCACGCCAACGGCCACCACCCGCACCAAGGCCACCAGGGCCACCAGGGCCACCACCCCAGCGGCATGCACCACATGGCGGGCCACCAGTTCGCCGTGCACCACGGCCTCCACCACGGCCAGGGCCACCAGGGCCACGGCGCCATGCAGGCCAGGCACTCCCCCAGCGCGGCCGCGGCCACGCAGTACTGACGAAGCCGCTCCGCCGAGCTGCTGGACACCGACACCGGCGAGGTCCGCGACCGCCTGGTGTAGGACTGCAGCCCAGCTCGGCTCGCCCTCAGGGACGTGATACTTAGGGCCTTGGGGATGCTTCAGGCTCCTGCCCTGCAACGCATGCAATGCCACCAACCCGCCGCACGCGGCAGTGCACGGCTTTACGCGACCGGGGGGCTTGGAACTTGAAAATCGACAGGGATCTTCATCTTGGAAACGCCGCGAGTTTCAGAAACTTCGTCCAATCTTTGGATCATTATTTCACGTAACTCCCTCCGTTTGCGAGATGAACTGACCTGAGTAATTTCTGACAAGTTTTGAGTCCCCCAAGAATCAGTAAAGCTGTGTTCTGCGGGGCGGCGTCACTTTGAATCCCACCGTTATGCGAACTGATGGTTTTGCTGGGGCAAAGCTGTTCCGGGAAGCCTCGCGTGCGAAGCCTCGCGTGCGAAGCCTCGCGTGGGTGGGCCTCCAAGTCAGATTGAGCTCGAATGTGCCAAAACGATTGTAAAGCGCTGCTTCAGGAGCAGCGGATAATTGACTGAACCCGTTTTTGTTTTTCTTAAATGTTGTGTTACATGCTCCATTAAGTTGTTGTTACCCATTTCACCGTCCACACGTTCTGTTTACTAAAGTGGCTTCTCTCCAAGTTTGGTTTGTCTTTATTTCATTTTTGTTTGCAATCAATGCAACTGTTTTGTTATGATTATTTTTGTTTTGAGCCATGGTGATGCCAAACTTTGTTTCAATTCTTTTTCAGGTGTTTCTGTCAATTCTCAGTCTTGACCCTAGCTAATGTGATTATTAAAATGTTAGTAAAATTATCAACAGATGATGTAAATATCGTGGTTTATTTAATACGAATTGTGAGTTCTAATCTTTTGTGTATTTCAAATTTTGAATCTTGTCATTTTTGTATGTATCTTAAGAAATAGACCAAATACCATCTGTATTTGTTAGCACTTTAGTGAATAATTGCCCACGATCTAAACTCGTGGTTGCAATGCTCCGAGTGAACTGTACTATTAGTGCATCCTGAAGATAGTATCGATTGTTCAGCACTTATCTTCGAAAAGTCGTTTTGTTTGTTAAAAATTTAAGTATTTATTGTAGTTGTTGTGATATATGTACGATATGTGAGCTTACAGAAATGGTAATATGTGACTCAATTTGTAAAGATTGTAATAATTTGAAACCTGTATTATTGTGTGTACAAAGAAAAATGACGATGATAATACTAATAAAAAGTCAAAACCAACAGTAAAGTATTTTATTCCATAGTGTTAAAGTCCCTAAAAGGAAAATATAGGCTTACACAACATCATCAGATATTTTAAGGCCTCAGCAGACCTGTGGCGTTCGAGTAAACGACTACAACGAACACGGTACCCTGACTGCAAACCTCAAAGCAGGCAGTGTCCTGTTCGAGGCAATCGCCCTCGACTTAGAGAGTATGGGATGGAGTAGGAATCAACCGTAGAGGCATCACGCACCCCGCCCGCAATGTGGCATATCCATTAAATCTTTGTAAAATGCGCGCTAGGCTGCGGCGATGGGGTTCTTGATGACGTCCTGCAGGACGTTGACGACCCGGTCCACGGCCTTGGGGTTGGCGTTGGTGCCCATGAGCCCCACACGGAACGCGCGTCCAAACGTGGGGCCGAGTCCGGCACTGAGATCCACGGCGTGCCTGCAAGGAGTAGCGTACAAGTTAGAATCACGCTGAAAGTGGAGACATTGGGACACTGCACTTGAGACACGACAAATGAGACCTGGCCATGGCGGTGCGCAGGAGGGTGGCCCAGTCCATGTTGTCGGGGAGGAGCACAGCGGTGACGGTGGCCAGGCGGTGCTCCGGCTTCTCCACCAGCAGGCGCAGGCCCAGGCGCTCCAGGCCGTCGTGCAGCCTCTGGGCGGCGAGCTGGTGCCGGCGCCAGGACGCCGTCAGACCCTCCTCGGCGACCAGGGCCAGGGCCTCGCGCAGCGCGTAGAACAGCGTCACCGGGAGGGTGTGGTGGTAGCTAAGGGCACCGCAGTCCTTGGTTGACAGGGGTCGATACGCGGTCGCGGTCCGATACAACAACGGCAGCTCACCTCCGCTTGCCGAAGCAGCCCCAGCTGTCGCCGATGCTCAGGACGTCGTAGTAGAAGACCGGGCACGGCGTCTTCCTCGACTGGATGTGCTCCCTGCAACCACGTCCGAAGACGAACTTTAGATCGGGCGCCAACGGCAACGCAAAGCGCGATTATCTTCCTGTTGCACTCACATTGCCCGCGGGCTGAAGGTGATGGGGGACAGCCCGGGCGGCGCGTTGAACACCTTCTGCGACCCGCTGTACACCACGTCCAGCTCCCAGCGGTCCGTGTAGAGCGGCGTGCCGCCCAGCGAGGCCACGGCGTCCACCACGAGCAGTGTGCCGTACTTGTGGCACATGGCGCCGAAGCCCTCCAGGGACTGGTGGACGCCGGTGGAGGACTCGCCGTGCACCACGAAGAGCAGCCGCGGCCGGTGCTTGGCGACGGCCTCCTCGGCCGCCTCCAGGGTCAGCGGCTGGCCCGGCTTCACGTCGATCGGCACCACGCGCGCGCCTGCAGCACAGTCAGGCCGTTAGCGAGCGCCGGCAACATAGGCCACCCATTCAGCGCGCGGACCGGGAGGGTAGGCAACCCAACCGACTCACTGCTGCACCTCACAGAAACATGCTAAGAGTGGTAATAAGAGTGGTAAGGCTCGATGCGTACCTTGTCGTGTGGCCATGTCGGAAGCGCGATCGAACCAGAAGCTGTTCTTGCACATGACCGCCGTGTCGCCGGGCTCCAGGATGTTGGCCAGCGCGGCTTCCATGCCGCCGTGGCCCGCGCAGGACAGGCACAGCGTGACGGGGTTCTTGGTCTGGAAGGCGTACTGCAGGCCCTCCTTGATCTCGTCCATGAGCTGCGCGCGGAGAAGAAACAAAAATAGTTCAATTTTGCTTTTGATTCGTTTCTGCCGTGCGCGGCGGCCCACGGACGCGGACTCTCACCCGGAAGGTCTCGGGGTGCATGGGCCCCAGCGAGGGCAGGCCGCCCGCCTGCGCCGCCCTGGGCGTCAGGTTGCTGGGCCCCGCGGCCATGAGCATCTTGTTGGGGACGGAGAGCGGCGTCTCCAGGGACGCGGGCGCGCGGACGTCCTCGGTGTTGGCGGCGTTCACCATGGCGGCGGGGCTGACGTTGCGGGCAGCCAGCTACTCGCGGACTGAGGACTGAAGCCTGCAGCAGCCGTCGCAGGACACCTTCGGCGAGACTCGCGACAGTCGGACTTTGCTCTCCGGTCGCGCGTGTGGCGGTGAAGTCGGGGGCGGGGCTCCGGTCGACCTGACAACAGGTGACCCGTGCGCAGGGTGAGATAGTGGAAAACCACACTATTACCTTACGTTTGGTTAGCCTGAGCACCTCTTTATTTCTTTGTGCAAGATAAGCTACTCTGTAAGACTCGTACATACACTGAAACTCAAGTATGTACTCTGTGCCACACTTTGAGCACGTGTTTGACTCAGTGAGCATGGACGCGGGCACGTGAGCATGTGGGTATGCTGTCATCAGCCCCATTGCCAGCATGCGCTTCATGGCGCCTGCTTACCGAGTACAGACCGCAAACTGTAAAAATTTGACCGAAAAAGTAGATATTTGTTTGGTGTGTGTGTGTGTTCATGGTATGCCTCTGTACGTCACTTGTTCGACCAGGGCCAGGACTCACCTTCCTCCAGCGTGTCCTAGAGACCCTAGAGTCTCTAGCGTGCCCGCGGCGCGACTGGCGGAATGCTGCTTGCTGCAGTCCTGGCAGACTTTAGCAAATGCGCGGTCGAACTGACGCCACGGCAGACAGCGTGTAAAGCGCAGTGTCAACTGTGAGGGCAGCGGCTGGGTACTATAGGACGAAATTTGAATGTCCTCGGGGAGCACAAGATAAGGAATCCGTTACAAAGTAATGTATAAATATATATATTGCTGTTGACGTACAAATTGCGAAAGTCCATCGGTCAGAAATTGTATTTCCTTCAAACTTTGTGGTATAGACTGTCTACAGTATCTTGGTAGCAGTACGAGGTGTATTTCTGTAGGTGAAGAGAAAAGCATCGATCTTGTGTTGCAAATGAAGGCTTGCCACATTTCCTAACAGTGGGCCGACGTTGCCTCTCGGACCATTTCATTAAATTGTTGCGTGGGATTGTGCAGGAACTGTCGCGGATTCTTCTTATCTGCATATTTGCCGCCGGGTCGTCGCGCCGGGAAGGCGTCCAAAGCCCTCCCGTCCCGTCGCGTCCCGCCCCACGGCCCACGCCTCCGAGGCGTGGCGGCATTGGAACGTGGAACGCTCAACGCTCGTCGCGCCGGGATATGCACTCGCGTATCGTGTTACTATCCACGTTATCAGCGTCTGTTACTCTTACTTTTTCCACGTGGGGCCAATTTTCCGTTAAATAAGGACATTTGGTGGCGTCATAGCATGATGGGTCGACGTGGAACGTTGTTAGGGAATCGGGTCGCAGCTTTTGGCAGTGCACACCTCGTCGATTCGTCGTGACGAGTGACGAGCGTGCCCGTGGGACTTCCCCAGCGCGGCACTGCACTGGCAGTGACGACGGTCGGTGCGTCACAGGCTGCTCTTCGGCATGGGGTTCCTGATGGCGTCCTCCAGGACGCCGAGGACGCGGTCCACGAACCTGGGGGTGGCGTTGACCCCCATCAGGCCCACCCGGACCACCTTCCCCAGTGTAGGCCCCAGCCCGCCACTGATCTCCGTGCCGTGCCTATTAACACGCAGTCCATTAAAACGTCTTTTGAAAAAAATTCATCGGACAGAAGTAGAAACTTTTTAAAATTCGAGAAGACACGAGACCTGGCCATGGCGGTGCGGGTGACGGCGGTCCAGTCCACGTTGTCCGGGACGAGCACGGCGGTGACGGTGGCCAGGCGGTGCTCCGGCTTCTCCACCAGCAGGCGCAGGCCCAGGCGCTCCAGGCCGTCGTGCAGCCTCTGGGCGGCGAGCTGGTGCCGGCGCCAGGACGCCGTCAGACCCTCCTCGGCGACCAGGGCCAGGGCCTCGCGCAGCGCGTAGAACAGCGTCACAGGGCACGTGTGGTGGTAGCTGAGGCAGAGCGGCGTAAGGCGGACTATCTGGCATACGCCCCCTTGTTGTCCGAGGGGACTTGGTTCACTCACCTCCTCGGCTTGTCGAAGCAGCCCCAGTACTCGCCGACCTTCAAGATGTCGTAGAAGTACACGGAGCACGGCTGCTTTCTCGACAGGACGCGTTTCCTGCAAAACCACCATAGTTAGTTGTCATCGGAGACGTATACGTGGTCCACTGCCAGTGCCCCACAGAGTCCTATAAGAGTTCCAGGACTCGTCTGGGACCCTAGTCGCACTCACATTGCCCGCGGGCTGAAGGTGATGGGGGAAAGCCCGGGCGGCGCGTTGAACACCTTCTGCGACCCGCTGTACACCACGTCCAGCTCCCAGCGGTCCGTGTAGAGCGGGGCGCCGCCCAGCGAGGCCACGGTGTCCACCACGAGCAGCGTGCCGTACTTGTGGCACATGGCGCCGAAGCCCTCCAAGGGCTGCTGCACGCCGGCGGAGGTGTCGCCGTGCACGAGGAACAGCAGCCGCGGCCGGTGCTTGGCGACGGCCTCCTCGGCCGCCTCCAGGCTCAGCGGCTGGCCCAGGGGCGCCTCCGCGGCCACCACGCGCGCGCCTGCAAGTTTCAAGGCTTTGTCACGGCTCTGTCTGAGAAGTGAGACAGAGACAGGGCGACGGAAAGCATCTGCCGGCCGAGTCGCTCGAAGTGCCCGTAGAGCATCGAGGAAGAGCGCCGAGAAGGCGGGCCACCCATTCGGCTCGCCACCGAGCGCAGCGAGCGCCGTGGCGGTAGGCAGCCCAGTCGGCAGGTGGGTGTACTATCTCCGTGTGCACACATCAGCATCAGCTGAGAGGTAGGTCAACTCATCCACGCCGTGTTTTGGATGCGCAGACGACTAACCTTGTCGCTCTGCCATGTACGAAGCGCGGTCGAACCAGAAGCTGTTCTTGCAGATGACCGCCGTGTCGCCGGGCTCCAGGATGTTGGCCAGCGCGGCCTCCATGCCGCCGTGGCCCGCGCAGGACAGGCACAGCGTGACGGGGTTCTTGGTCTGGAAGACGTACCGCAGGCCGTCCTTGATGTCGTCCATCACCTGCGACGCATTTGGGTTGAGTTGCTACAGCAGGGGCACTCACAAAGAGGCTAATTGACGCTGCGTCCGCTCCATGGACTTTACCTGGAAGGTCTCGGGGTACATGTGGCCGAGCAGGGGCAGCGAGCCGGCGTGCATGACTCTGGGAGGGGCGTTGCTGGGCCCCGCGCCCATCAGGGACTTGTGCGGGACGCGCAGCGGTTCGGCCAGCGACGCGGGCGCGCACACGTCCTCGGTGTCCGCCATGGCGTCGTCGTCGTCGGCGTCCTGGTGGCGGTAGCGCTGGTCGTGGGGCGCGACGGGCCGCTGGGCGGAGACTGGGGGACTGGCCGCCGCAGCCGTTCCGCCAACGCACTTATCAGTGCCGGCCCGGTCTGTATCTGCGCGTCCTCAAATCAGTTGCGCAACATGAGCTAACTCTCTCTGGTGTGGTCAGTAAGGTTCGCTTCTCCTCTTGTTGGAGGTGAGACCTGCCTGCTTTCGTGTACTTGCTCGTCTTCGAATTACTGCCGGTGCGACCTACCTGGTCTAACCAGCTGCCCTTTACTCCTAGGGCGAAAAGGGAGTGAGGGAGGGGGTGGGGTAGGGCGGTGACATGACCCCTGTGACCCTGTGCCTGGCCATAGCAGCAGTCCCACTCGCCCTGAGCCCTCCCTGTGGGTGGACCCGCCACTCTCCACACTCCTAGTGGAGGTGTAGCGCGTCGATACCCCTGGCCGAGAGAGACTCTGGCATCGCCGCGCGGCCGAGAGATGGCGCTGGCTGCACGCGGCACAGGACTCGCGGCTCGCGTGGAGCCGGCCGGCAGCAGGGCACAAAGCCCCCTCCCCCTCCCTCCGCGCTGCGCACTCCGGCTTGCCCGGGGTTCGTTCGTTTGTTCGTTTTCGTTTCTCGTCAGTCTCTCACTTGTTGTCGTGGCGCACGCTTCGTCCCGGACCCCCGCCGTCGGGAAGGCTGACTGGCAGCGCCAAAATCGGAAGGAAATTCTCTTGCAGAGCCCGATTGTGTCGGTGAGAAAACCGGCGGGGTCCGTTCGCGGTCCGCGGGTGTCGTCTCCGTCGGCCGTCCGAGCGCGTCGCGTCCGTCCGCGCCCCAGGCCGAGCCGTGCCGCCAGCCCCGCAGGATGGCCACCTGTTGCCGCCGATTTGTTTTGCTCGCGGTCCGCTCCGCCTCCCCCTAACAAAGGGCTTCTTCGCGGCCCGAGCCTTAGTGGCGGCGTGCGAGTGTGTGTGTGCGTGTGTGTGTGAACCGTTTGGATTTACTGCCCGCTCTGGATTAGATTGGATGCGAAACCTCATCCGGGGCACCGCCTCCCGATGACCGCCTCTGGGCTCATGAAATAGGTAAGTCGCAAGTTGCACGCGGGCTGCCTTTATCGGCCCTGCCGTCCTGCCAGCGTGGAGTCGTTTCGTCGCTCTGTCTCTGTCGTACTCACAGGGCTCTCACGGGTGCGAGAGAGACAGCGACAAACCGCTCTTGAATCGCTCGACTGCGTGTGCGGTTCTAACCCCTGCTCGCTTGAAATGTGTAAGCACCGTAGGCACTGTTGGTCTGCTCCCACCAGGGCGGGGGCTGCGGGGGCTCGTCTCTCCCCTTGCCCGCCGCCCTAACCTGGCATTCGGGCCGCGGGGCGCGAGGAAGACGGTGACAGCACTGACAGTTGGTCGCGGCCGCGGTCCAGGAGTCCAGGTAGTTGGCTTATTTGGCCGAATGTCCGCCAGCGCGCGTAATCTCTCCAGAATGGCTGGGCATGGCCGCCTCGATTCGGGACTCGCTTCGTTCGGAGTTCGGAGTGATTCGGACGGATGTGATGGAGGCGTTTGAGTTCGTGGAATCGGAGGCTGCCCCTGCTTTGTCGGTCGGTTTGGTCGGTCGGTCGGTGGGCTGGCTGCTCCGCTGCGCTGTCCTGGCCGCACAGCGTTTCGCTCCGTCCTTGTCGCACTCATGCGGCATGCCCCGTGAGTGCGAGAAGGACGGCGACGAAGGCGCTGTTTGAGTGTTCGGGCGTCCCGCTGCCACCTTCGGGCCGGGGAAAAAGAGCAAAACATTGGAAGGAGGAGGGGTGGAAAAGAGGGGGAGGGGGCAAATTCGCTAACCCAACAACCTAACCTAACCCCGTGCTTTTGCAGTGTAGGCCGCCACGACCTCCACGTCTAGCCCTCGGGGCTGTCAAAGCAGCTCCTTTCAGCCACACTCTGTGCGTTTGCGAGTCCGTGCTTCGTGCGCATCGAGCACGCTGCGGCTCGCTGTGCATAGACCCTGCTGCCGTGCGCACTGGAACTGGTTTCGTGGCTGGCTGCTTACTGCTGGCGCTTCTGGCAGGCGGGGAGCCAGGGAGTAGGCCTCAGCTTGCTCAGATACTGCAAGTGCGTACTGGATTGTGGCGGCGTGGCGGCCCGCGGGGGAGCCTCTGGCGCGGCGTGCCTGGCGGGCCTGGCCGCGCTGGCGATGGCCACAAAGGAAGGCTCGCTGAACCCGGCTTGCGATCGGCAAGACGGCCAAGACGGAGGGCAGAGAGCAGGTGGTGGTGGCCGTCGAGGCCCCGCCCGTGCCGCCTGTGCCGGGCCGGGCAGCTGACCGGTCTGTAGCCGGCCGCGTTGGGTCCACGCCGACGGCCGTCCGGGACCGGCAGCTGGAGAAGCTGCCGGAGCCTGTCAGGATGCTGCGTGATGCACCTGCCCCGCCACGCCACGCCCTGCCCACACGGACCGGGCCCAGTATCGCCGAGAAGGCGAACCCGATCAAGTTTTCGGCTGAAAAGCAATTATGCGTTTGACGGTCCGGGCAGGGCCTGGATGCCGTCCTGGATGCCGGGCTGCACGCCGGGCCGGGCTGCGCTGGCTGGGCTACCGCGTCAAAAAGCAAGCTCCGGCGGATTGGAGATACTGGGCAAACCGATCACGTCACATCGGGGCCGCGAATCCGAGGCGGTGTGGCGACGGGGCCGGCGCGCGACACTTATTTTTGGCCACGTCTGGTGTGCGGTGCACCACCGCGCCGTGCCGCCGTGCGCCGGCACCGCCCTGCCCCGCCACTGCCCGTCCGCCACCTGCCGATTGGGCAGACAGTGGACGCGAAGGGGGCTGCACGCTGCACGCTGCGCCTTGTAAAAATAGAAGCAGAACGATGCAATCGGCGGCAACAAGAAGATGGCCGTCGCCGCGGACGACCCTCGGGGACGGCGGCGGCCTTGGCGGCCTTGGCGGCCGGACCTTCCTCCACACCGCGATGCCGCGATGCCGACGACGCCGTTGTCGGAGTGCTTGTTTCTCTTTTTACCAGGCGGCCGGGTGCGTGAAACGCATTGCGCACTGCCGCCTCATTCCGATCCGCCACTCCGTCTCTCTCGCACTCGCGCGGGGCGCCCCGTGAGTGCGACAGAGACAGCGATGGAACAATCTTTTGGAATCAACAGGCCGTGCACAAGCGCCCTGTCGCCCTGTCGCGGAGCGGGCGCGGGGCGAGGCGGCGACGGCGGGGCGGGGCGGGGTCGGGGTCAGGGCAGGACGTAACGCGGACACGGTCTGCATTGCGTCGGCGGGGTGTGGTCCACGCAGTCCAGGCAGCGCAGTGCGCCACGCACCACCCAAGCAGCGGCGTAGCTATGCCCGCGCATTCAAGTCTCCACCAACCAGTGGCGGCGCTCATGGAAGTTCACAACGGCATGCCTTCGCGTCGCCGCCTCCGCCCTCTGTCTGTCTATCCGTCCGTCGTCCGTCCGTCGCCAGGCTGCCCTGTCCGTCGTCCGTCCGTCACCAGGCTGCCCCGTCACTTGGCCCGCCCGCCCGTCCGTCGGCCGAGTGGCGACGCGGCCACGCGGCGACGCTATCGGGGCGCCATCGCGACTCGCGACTCGAATCGAACTCGCGGCCTCATTATGTCAGCGCCGCTCGTTTGAAACTGAGCCAAGGCCGCGCTGCGGTGCAGTGGCTGCAGTGGCTGCGTTCTTCTCGCTGCGCACTACTCTAGACACCGCGTCGGGGCGGATGAGTCCAAGTCGCGACGGTCCGGGGTGGCGCCGGCGCCGGGGGCGACGGGTCAGCGGGGTCGGAGGTCCTGGTCGAGTTCTTGGCTGTCTTGGCTGGGGTCCTGGTGGAGGTCCTGGCGGGGGTCCTGGTCGAGGTCCTGGCGTAGGTCCTGGTAGAGTTCCTGTCTGTCTTGACGGAGGTCCTGGTGGAGGCCCTGGTGGAGGTCCTGGTGGAGGTCCTGGTGGAGGTCCGGGCGGGGGTCCAAGTGGAGGTCCTGGCGGAGGTCCTGGCGGGGGTCCTGGTGGAGGTCCGGCGGAGGTCCTGGAGGAGGTCCGGGCGGAGGTTGCGGGGTGCGAACGGTGCGAAGACAGCGCGCAAAGCCCGCCGCCGAGGCTGGGGGGTCCTTGTAGTCCTACTGCGGGATTAGGCTTAGCCGGCGGGGCTGTAGTGTGCAGGGCTCCAAGAAGGCGGGGTCGGTGACGAGGGAGCGATCTGGGCGAGGCGACACGGCGCGGCAACACCGGATATTGCTTGGGTGTCGGCGGCGCGGCGGCGGGGGAGGCGGAGAACCCCGGCGAGAAGGTGGCGGCGTTGACGCGAACCTCGCGACCCTGAATCTCGTGAACCTCCTCGCCCTGTTTACCGTCGGAAGCAAACTGGATCCGCGGGGCGCCGCGCTGCCGCGTCCTTGTGGAGGGTGGCGAGGGGCCGCGGCGAGGCGCAAGGCGAGGCGCCACCTGCTGGAATGCTGTGGGACCGCCCCGCCGCGCCCCGCCCCGCTCGCAGTGTGTGCGCTGTCTATCTCGCCTGAATGGGGCTTTGACGCCGTGGGGCTGCGCCATGCTGTATGCATGGTGTGTTGTGCCCCCCCCCCCCCGTCCCCGCTCATCTTTGCGAGCCTGATAACCTTTGCCCCCATCCCCGCTGCGCAGACACCCCCCCTCCCCCTCCCCCCGAAGTGGCGCCGTGTTGTGTCTACTCGAGAGCCGCACAATAGGTTCTCACGCTGCGAACTTGTCATTTTCGTTTTCTTTTGTCGATTTCGTTTTTCATAATCGATGCGGCGCGCTCTGGGACGGCGGGCCAAGCGGGCACGCCCCCTCTCCCTCTGGGCCTCTGGGTTCGTCTCCAGTCCCTCTCGGCCCGATGCCCCTGAGGGGTTCAGCTGGCCCGGGGTGGCGCCGAAGCTGGATCGGGATCGAACATCGGAAAGGCGTTTTCGGTGGTGCGGGCTGGCAGACTGCTGCAGCGGTCGCGGCGGTCGCATTGCAGGGATGGGATGACACTGCAAGGGGAAAGGAAGGCCTTCTGGACGGGAGGTCGGTGCCATCTGGCCAGCGGAGCCCAGCG